GCATACTATTGCATGGCAATTGCAGTTGTGTTTAAATAAAATACATAAATGGTGTCTTGAAAACGGCTTTAAATTTTCACAGTCCAAAACTAATTGTCTACTCTTTTGTAGAAAATATAAGCCGCATAAAGACCCAGAACTATCTTTAAATGGCACTCCCATCAAACGTTGTAAAGGAGGCCAGGTTCTTGGGTCTAATCTTCGACTCCCATTTAACTTTTTTGCCGCATATTAAATCCCTTAAAGCCAAATGCCTGAAGGCCTTTGATTTGTTGAAAGTTGTATCCAACTCAAAGTGGGGAGGGGATCAAGCTACCTTCCTCCACGTATATAGATCAGAAACTTGATTATGGCTCCATCGTATATGGTGGAGCCTGCAAAAGCAACCTAAAACCACTTGATTCTGTCCACCACCAAGGCATAAGACTTTGTCTTGGGTCTTTTAGAACTTCTCCTGTTGACAGTCTTTATGTCGAGGCAGATGATCCTTCTCTTACCCACCGCCGTATAAAATTATCTTTACAATATATTACCAAACTATATTCTAACGAGTTTAACCCTGCATTTAATTGTGGTTTTAATCCTCTTTATGTGGATTTGTACAACAAAAAGTCTTCTCTTGTTCCGCCTCTTGGGCTAAGAATTCAACCATTCATTTCTGCTGCCGGCATTGAGCTGGAAAATATAGCTTCTTCCCGTCTTCTTTCTTCTCCTCCTTGGCAACTGGTGAGGCCTGAAGTTGACCTAACTCTGACAAGTTTAAGAAGTCTGAAACTAATGAATTACAATATAAGCAAGAATATAATCAATTAAAAACTAAATATAATACATACAAATCCTCATTTACAGGAGGGTCCAAGGATGGTGGCGCGGTGGCTTGTGCCACTGTCATTGGATCCAGAACAATGTCTTCTCGACTACCAAATAACAGCTCTACTTTCACAGCAGAAGCTAACGCCATATTAACAGCTCTTAAATATATTAATAAACACCGTAAATATAAACAATACATAATCTTTTCCGATTCTCTTTCGTGTCTTCAGGATATTAAAAATCTTTCTTGTAAACATCCACTTTTAATAGAAGTTATTGAATTGTATAATGATCTTGCTACTGGCCAATGCGACATCGTTTTTTTGTTGGTTACCCAGCCACGTTGGCATTTCCGGGAACACAATGGCTGATCTTGCTGCTAAGGCAGCACTCAACAGATCTGTTGCTAAGGCAGCACTCAACAGATCTGTGACACCACTTCTAATTCCATACTCCGATTTCAAAGCTAGCATTAGAACTTACATCCGGGATCTGATGCAGAAGTGGGACACTCAAGTAGGTATAAATAAATTACATGAAATAAAACCGTATATTGGTTACACCTACTTGGGTTGTCAGTCCAGATTTGAGGAGGTCATCATGCGACGATGTCGCATTGGCCATACGCGTTATTCTCACAAATACTTGCTAAAAGGTGAAGATCCTACGTTTTGTATCTCTTGTGATGAGAGATTCACCGTCAAGCATATCCTGCTTGACTGTGTTGAATTCTCCATCATAAGGGATAAATATTTCAATGTGAAAACAGGTAAGGAACTTTTTAGCACTGTTAATTTTCATTTAATTATTAGTTTTTTAAAAGAAATTGATTTAATAGATGAATTTTGAATAATATGTTCTGTAGATAGATGTATTTTAATGATTGGTAGATTAGTAACTTAGATGGTTAGTGGCTGTACCCTCAAAGGGGTTAAAGTACTGTAAAATTATTGTCCTCCTGATAAGGTACGTAAGTCCCGCAACATTCAAAATCAATTTAAACTCTCCACTTATTTAATCGTAGCATATGTGTATTTTTAATGTATGGCTAGTTCAATATAAATTGCTAACAGCGGAAGGGATGATGTCAATCCAGCTAGGGCCCATGCAGGAAGCAAATGTACTGTAAGTCCCATGGTCCCTAGTATGGTGATCTACCTTCAGTTGTTGGCAATCTATAGCCTGGTTTTATATTGTATTGTCGTGTATAGTTAAATGTTTTAGATTTAGTGACTGTAGAAAAAGGACTTTACTGAGGAGAGATTAGTGCAGAAATGAGAAATGCGTTTTTTTGTTAAGTCCAAAGTGACTTATTTGGAACAGGCCATGGCTTTATGCAAATTAGTGTGGATTGATATTATATTACAAAGGACAAGTTTTGAAATTAAACTTAGCTTCATTATAACGATAGCTGACGTAAAAAAATGATAACTGTAATACTGAAACTATGGAGGATGTAGCTGACATGGAGTCTCACTATCACTATAAAACAAACAGGTAGGAGGGGTCGTCCCAAAAGCAAATTCAGGACGGGTGTCGCAGACGGTGGTTGGGGTCGGGCTGGGGGATAGAGATATAAGCTGAGATAAGATAACCCTTTAGGGGAATTAAACTGGGAAGCAAAGGGCATGTCATAACAATTTACAAATAATATCCAGTCCTTTCGATCTTCGGATGGTCATGCCACCTATATATTTTGAGAAATATAATACCATGGCTGATTTAAACTTTTCCATGTGTGTACTTTAGTTTTAAATTTCTACCTGTGATAATCTAGTTGTTTTACTGTCCTTCGTTGACAGGTTTTACTCTCCAAAATGTTTTCATTTTTTATTGTATAAATTGGTTTCGTCACGATATGGCTGAGATATTGCCGATGTGACGTTAAATATTAACTCACTCACTCACTCTATGTTATCTAAGGGCAGATCAAGTTAATTATTTATATACTATCGAGCGAGTACATCAACGCATATCGTTTCGCTGCCTTTTGTAACATTCAAGCAATAGCGAGGGACATTGATTCACATAATAAACGGGAATCGAACCCGAGTCTTCGGTGTGACGGGCGTTGGCTTTAACCACTAGGCGACTACACTGACCTTTAAATTTTGGAACAGTAGACAATGATTATCAGCAACGAAAGTATGAAAGTTAAAAGCCATGAAATATAAAAACGATGTTTCGTAGTTTTTTGCCGGATAATTAGTTTTGGGAATTAGGTTGAATAAGGGTTGTAAATATCCGAGTCTGTCGAGGAGGACTTTGAGCATTCATTCACGAGGGACAGAAACTCCGCAATACAGTTTCGAGTTCTCTCTTGGCATAAGCGAAACCATAGCTCTTCTGTTATCCCGATACAAGGGTCAACTCTATTTGTTCATACATGAGACTGTGTGCGACAATAAGAACCTGACATCAACGTCTTCCATGCGACAGCGGTTATTGTCCTTATTTGCATGCAATACAGTACATGTATCAGTTATACTGTTTAATGTTTTGAACGTGTTTCCTATATACATGTTTTGAACGTGTTTTCTACCCTCATAGACATACCTATGTCTCGAATACACGGATAAGTCGAATTTATTACTTGGTCCCCAGCGATTCAACTCATCGGGATTTGACTGTGTGTTCATGTCAATTTTCTGTGTGTAACATTACTGAAATTGACACTTTGCAATTCACAAACGCCTATATATTTCAGTTATTTCAGTGACTAATAACTATCTTCTCTTGCCTTATCATGACAACGAATTCCGAAACGAATTGTTCCTAATAGCGGACGTATCTTATATATCCGTCTTCCTCTTGACCTGGGAACATAGCACGTATAATGTACGTTGTGGTTTGAAGAAAGGGTGCCTTTTATCTCTTGATATTGTAACAAGTTACAATTATCTGGGACTTATTCTTACAGAGTATATTGATTACCACAGGATGGGTCAAGCTGTGGCTAGTTCGGCAAACCGTGCTTTAGGATTGCTTATATCAAAGTTTGAACATCCGGGAGGAATGCACCTATAGTCTGTTTACAGTGAAAACGTACCGATGAATTTCACTTAAACCAAAAAAGTAAATCGAATAAAGTGAAATTAGACTGTGAATCCTCATAAGTTTACCTTGCCAATTGAACATTTACATCTCAGAATTTTATTCAACTTAGGATAAAAGTTGTTTAACAAACGATCATACATTCAAATCGCTAATATTGGTTTGTATTACAAAGGGTATGCACATTAAACGAAACACCGAGAACAAGTGGGGTTGGTCTAAGTCAACGATATTCACGTACCGCATGTGCATTTGTTTTACTATTCCAACTACTGCGCTTACTCCCTTGTAATATAAACCAATATACGCTGTACAGCTTTAAAGTGCTTTAAAGCAGGAGGCAAATGCAATAGCAGGTGCCACGAAAGCCTCACAAAATGTGAGCAAATAATGTCACCCAATGTTTTTTTATATTTTGAAATATTGGTGAAATATTGTTTTGTGTCAATAAAGATGTCCCTTGATTGTCTGTGTTAGGTTTGTCTCTAAAAGTTAAGTTTTTATACACTAATAATGATACACATTGAAACTGACTTTCAGTCAGCCTGTCAAATAAATCGACTAATATTTCAGGCAATTTGTAAAGTGACAATTTACAAATGGACTGAAAATTTCAGGCAATTTATTCTACACATTGACTTAACATATATATGTATATTTTATGTTTCTAAAGTCTCTCATAACTCCAAATGGAGTGGCTCATGGAACTTTATGTAATATGCGTTTATCGATATCTTGTATGCTTATAAAATGTACCAAATGAGGTGAGACTCTAATACAATAATTACCTATCTATATGAAATAATAGACTTAGATAGCAAAGCTGAGGAGTAGCCTGCTGATAAAAGCGTATCGTGTCGCTGGACACGACTCACGCCCGGCTGATCTCTCACATGAGTTCAATTTCTGATGTCACCCGTCGCGAAATCGCTGGAGTACTGGCAAAAGAGGCGTAAAACTCATTCAGTTAGAGAAAACATCTGTTTCAAATATATGACGCATCTGTGACAATAATGACGCTCTTCCTTGACTTGTACTTGTGTCAATGTGGGACCCAACTGTGTATAGAAGGCGGCGTTACACCACTCGAGCACCCTGTCATTCACTTCCTGCTTACAACAATAACAATGCAACACGTTTTATATCTTTATTGTAAATATAGAAAGCTTGATTAACAATAATTAAATCATTCTATGCACTCTCAACACAGATAAAAGCTGATCAGTCCGACTACACTTATTGTCTTCATTCCTGGACACACTAGTCCAACACTTGCTATTAAATGAAAGAAATTGGTCGCCGCATGCACGAAAGCTATAAATGTAAAAACAAAGCGAATTCTTAGCATGCTTGTCCTGGGTATATCTGTCGTATTGATACACGTGTTTCATTTAGCACAAATACGAATACCACAGATGGTGAAAATACAGTACCGTATCGCCTAGGCATCTGAATTACAAAACATGTATAGCTTTGAATACTGATGAATTTTAACATTTATTGGGGAAAATGTTTACAGTATTATTCAAACGTCTCAGTGAGTGAACCCAACAATGTCTCGCCAACGGGAAAACAACATGGATAACTGCTTCTCGTGTTCAGATCTTGATTCTGATTGAAATGGTTAAAGTTTCTGAGTTGCATCAATGTGTGTGTTCGAATGTTCTATAATGTATCTATTGCATATACATATGGAATAATGCACAATCAGTTTATAAGGAAGCAGCTAAATGCTTAGTTCAAGCGGTGAAATTGCGGACAGTTGCAAAGGCTGTTGGACGTTTTACAATTCGGTATCGACACCTTTCGTGTGGGATCTGTTACGGCGCTTCCCTCGAATCACCATGACAACAGCAGCCATCACCATGGCAACTGCAGCAATAGCCATTACAATTGCTGGGACAGCTGCCGTAGTGCTGGAGTCGTTCCCGCCGGTTCGTTCTGCTACCTGGAAATCTGAAAACAAAGAAATATAGAAATTAAATTACTTTTTTCCCCAGACATTTGGTGTTTTGCACTGACTTGTGTTAGGATATCATAATGACAGAAAGACATGTAAAATCGTGTCCACGTGAATGAAAACTGTGAAATTTCAAAACACTGAGAAAAACTCATTTCTGCACACATTCGTACAACACAAGAACATACGGTTAAAACATTACTGTTACTATAACAAGTAGGTGAAGAAAACGTGTAAGGTTATCAGGTTCATTTTGAAAACCAAACCCAACCACAAAATGGCAAAAGACACCGGCACGGCTAAATGAAAAGTAACCCTTATATGTCTACCTGCATTCCGTTTCTCTCTGAAGGTAAGTGGCCCCTGGAAGATGTGAAGGTCATGTTCAGTCCTGTCATCCGACGCCTCACGAACACGACGATGCATTGAGTTGCAGTCCCGACGACATCTGTGTTCGTAGTCTGTGCCGTTGCATACTCGGACGTAGCAGAAGATGTATACATCCCGATTGTTGCGAACAAATTCAAATGTCGGAACCGGAAGTGGACATGTTTCAGGGAGGAAGTGTACTCGAAAGCAACGGTCTGGTCCGCAGGACATCTTGATGAAAAAAAGGGGTAATTTTGTAAACAGAGTTTTTGCAGACTAGTTTTCATCAAGGACATGAACGCGATCCAATTTCGTCCAAATGGATCACATTTTGGATCAAATTCCTATGTAAATTACAAGTTATAGCATTTTAGGGGTTGACTCCTATCCGAGTCACCTCAATAGCATTTTCATGACTTTCCTTCACCAAGTTAACAATGCAGAGATCTAGAACAGGATACAGTGAAGAAAAACGGTTCTTTTTCATTTCCATAAAAAGTAAAACTAGTCCAGCAGAATGTTTTGTTTAATGTTTGAATATCCAAGTTGTGCTATGAAATATCAACCGCATTCTTCGTATTTTTATATGTTCATGTTTTGAAAATTGTTTTAAGAATGTTTGATGAGTGTTGATACTACGTCTTGTGTCACTTACCCATCTCTGATGAGGTAGTACTGGTTGTAATAATCGTAAGGATCCACAGACGGTTTAGCCACGCAGTTCTGAAGCGATATCTTGAGATCAGAGTCATCCGACTCCAGCTCGACGTCCACGTATACATCCTGATTCAGGCCAATGTACATCGGATAGGAGGTGATTCTGTAATTCATACTGGGATCCCTGTAGAAATTCATATGCATGGAAAAGTTTCCCGAGCCACTTGCAACCAGCTGATGATCATGTTGAGGCCTGAAGTGTCCAATAATGGACACGTCTCTGTTGAGGTGACACTCTAGAGATATATCCTTTGAGTTGAACCTCGTGATGATTGATCCGGTTGCCGTTGTGGTTCCGTAGTATCCTCTAACTTGTGGCATGATCCTGTTCTTGTACACGATGTCATATCCAGTTTCCTTAAGAACAAAACCGCAAAGTATGGGTGCATATATGGATGTATGGCAACCAGTAAGTGCAGCTCTACTCTATAATCGACCATTTGGAAAACATTTGAAATTACGTTCTATTCATAGATGTAGAAATGTTATAATATTTAGACTCTGTAAATGGTAAAACAAACAGGGCATAAAAAAATCAGAATATTCTTTACTCTTTTGGATTTGGCTTCATGTGGAAAAAGCAAAATTTATATAATGTCGATAAATTCGTATCAGAATTTGGTTTTAGACTGTGAGTTAGTTATGAACAAGAATGGCACACATCACTTGTAAATAGTCCTAACTTTTTACTTTATTCTTGTTTTAAAATTTCATTTGGTGTTGAATTTTACATAAAAGATTTATCAATTTCAAAATTTCCATCGGCCCTCGCTAACTTCAGAGGTTCATCACAACGCCTCCAAATTGAAACCGGTCGATATATTAATCAACCCAGATCAAATAGGTTATGTTTTGTATGTAAAGACAACTTTCTTGAAAATTAATTTCATTTTATGTTGGTATGTATTATCAAAATCTAAGATGTTTGTATTTACCACGTAAACTCTATTCAAATCCCACTATTCATAAGTTTAATATGCTCATGTAAATTGTCAATCCAGATATTGTAAAAGATTGTTTGTATATATAAACAATGCAATGAATCCTAGAGATTCACTCCTATGCCAACAATATCATATTTACTTTTTGTATATTTTGTAAATTAACTTATTGTCTTATGAATTATACATGCACATATGTATTTTGAACTGTACCCTGGACCTATGGCCTCCACTACAAAAGAAACAGAGATTGATTGATGTAGATGTAACGACTAATCCCTTCACACCTTGGCCATTTCCCATTTGACTTCGATGCAGCTATCTTGCTTGCGTGTAGTTACTCTCAGAGAAGGCACAGAGACACACAAGGCCACGTCATTTTAAGTTGTAGCTCATTCATAAAGAAATTATGCCAATCGTTCGTGAACGACATATTGTATTTATGACCACTAATATCAATCGTGAGCATCTTAGGGATCAAAGAAATGTAGATTTCGTTCAAAGTTCCGATTGCAAACTTACAATGATGACACCAGTTGTTGGCGAAATGGGTGTACTGCCCTTTCTTGGTCATACGTGATAGGGTCATGGTAACTGATTTTGCCATGGCAACTTTGTCTAAAATGTTACAGGGGAAAGATTATGCTAACCCTAAAACAATTGTTTGGTTGTGAGTGTCATGGCCCTGTACGGGCGGTGAGGTAGCAAAGTGGTTAAAGCGATTGCTTGTCACCCCGACGACCGTGGTTCGAATCCCCACATGGGTACAATGTGTGTAGCCCGTTTCTGGTGTCCCATGCCATGATATTGCTGGAATATTGCTAAAAGCAGCGTAAACACTCACTCTCATGGCCCTGTAGCGATAGAACAAAGTGTTCCTGTCCTCTGTGACATAATTGTAAAATAAAGGAATGGTATGGATTTTAGATTTTAGATTACTTCCACAAAAATAATGTAAAATGAATTCAACTTGTATGTTTAACTGATCGGGTGTGAACTTTCGAATACATTGACATGTATGTTAATATTACGTGTAAAAACTATTTCTACGGACATATATCATATCATATCACAGTAAATATATTTTTATTGAGTGAGTGAGTGAGTTTAGTTTGCTTTTCGCAATATTCCAGCAATATCACGTGTGGGTACACCAGAAATGGGCTTCACATCAGCGTGAAGAGCAAACGCTTTAACCACTAGGCTACCGCCCCTATTTTATATAACATTATATATTAACATTATATGAAGGGAAGTTCACTTTTTTCAGTTAGTATATACTACTAATTGCATTTATACATCCACATCGACATCAGTATTAATATTTCGTTCGTGTTTTTCTATTTCAACATTACGTGAAATCAATGTTTACAAAGTAACATGATATTTTGCTTTACCGAAAACAACACGTAATAGGGACGGGTTAGTTACCTCCCTTGTCATACCACAACCAAGGATGTTTGAACGAAACATCACAACGTCATAGTAGACTTGTCCCCGGCAGTTAGGGTCATCCAGGGTCAGGTCATATGGAGATGACCCCGGAAACACTTGTTGAATCATGTCACGTGGTACAGTCACTTTGAAATCTCTGGAGTCACAGGTGACCATGACAGATGGGGCTGATGAGAAGAAAGAAAGAATGGGGCCTTTCATGCAACATATAGCTACGAGGGAAACATTTGATTTACTCATCGTTATTTTGAAACCTGATATTACGAAGTAAGTATCGAACAAACACATTACAGTGTTCAGCACAGTTACAACCAAAGTCCTTCCTCGATTACGCCCCCTGTTACTAGGCGAGCCACGTGATGACGCTTCCTGAAGACCATACCTAGCAACTTGTTGGATCTAATCTGTAACTGTCACCATACTGAGTTATTAACGCAAGCTTCCAGACTGATACAAGAGTGATGTGAGGTAACAAGTTTTGACCATGCTATATATATACTACTGGACATCGATCATATAGAAGCAGTATGAGAGCTTCTCTATTACAAAGAAACGGACCAGAGATCTCATACCATAGGTTTTAATAATCAAATATAGGGCCAAGACTTTAGAACAAATCAAAATTAATGTTGTCTAATGTGTGTTTCCCGTTGTTACATATGCATGTAAAATTCGCAGCCGACATACTTGACCAATATGGATTCCATTGGGGAAATAACACATTTATAAAGTATACACTACTCTTCACATCAGGCACTGATAGACAGTTTTACCTACCTTGTGATGACCAGCCCCACCAGGTGCTGCTCGGTTCTGGAATGATATAGGTATCAGAGTGAGTGAGTGAGTCAGTAGGTAGGGGTGTGGTGAGTGAGTTAGGTAGTAGATAGGGGTCTGGTGAGTGAGTGAGGTAGTAGGTAGGGGGGTGGTGAGTGAGTGAGGTAGTAGGTAGTCTGGTGGTGAGTGAGGGTGAGGTAGCAGGCAGAGGTGTTAGCAGGTAGGGGAGTGAGTGAGATAGAGGTAGCAGGTGTGGTGGTGAGTGAGGTAGCAGGTAGGGGTGTGGTGAATGAGTGAGGGGGAGTGAGGTAGGGGGTGAGTGAGTGAGGTAGTAGGAGGGTGTGGTGAGTGAGTGAGTGAGGTAGTAGGGCAGGTGAGTGGTGTGTGAGTAGGAGTGTGGTGAGTGAGGGGAGTGAGGCAGCAGGTAGGGGTCTGGTGAGTGAGTGAGGTAGAGGTAGGGACTGGTGAGTGAGTGAGGTATGTAGGGGTGTGGTGAGTGAGTGAGGTAGCAGGTAGGGGTCTGAGTGAGTGAGTGAGTGAGTGAGTAGGTAGGGATGTGGTGAGTGAGCGAGGCAGTAGGTAGGGGTCTGGTGAGTGAGTGAGGTAGTAGGTAGGTGACTGGTGAGTGAGTGAGTATGTAGGGGTGTGGTGAGTGAGTGAGGTAGTAGGTAGGGGTGTGGTGAGTGAGTGAGGTAGCAGGTAGGGGTCTGGTGAGAGAGTGAGGTAGTAGGTAGGGGTGTGGTGAGTGAGTGAGGTAGCAGGTAGGGGTCTGGTGAGTGAGTGAGGTAGTAGGTAGGGGTGTGGTGAGTGAGAGCATTCGGGTTTTGTATATCTCCGACCGTTATCATCTTCGTAAAACTCAACAGCATGTATATTGAACTGATGAATTAGAATGTGAGGGCGACTGTTCAAAGCAATCATGTGATTCTGACAACAGCATGAGGCTTCGGAGCGGCTATTTAGGTCACTCTTCGTCTGATGTTATGATAGACGCAGAGCAACAATTACAACGAACATTGATCTGGTACAATTTGACAGTGGACACATGTATTAAACTATTGCCACATGAAGTTGGAAGTATTGTAGAATCTGAAGAAATGTAATGTAAATACAGGACATTCCCCTATAATTAATTATTATAGCCATTCTTCATAAACGAATAGGTTTGTGAAATATCTTACGATAGTATCCATTCGTCGTTGATCCCCATGAATCTGAAACAATGAAAGAATTTGACATAAAAATACTAAGGAGTATTTGTGTAACAGTGGAGAGGTTGGGAACCAAAATCAGACTGGTAATCAACATCATACACACTGCCACTTATAAAGTGGTCAAATACAATATATGTGATGTTTGGGATTACACTTTCTCAGTAAGGTACATGTTCTACTTCGTACTCTGTGTGCTGACTGGAAGCCGGCTGGGGAAATATTCATTGTAGGTCATTATCAGGGTTAGAGCCATTATACTGCGGTACCATATCTGTGTAGGTCATTATCAGGGTTAGAGCTATTATACTGCGGTACCATATCTGTGTAGGTCATTATCAGGGTTAGAGCCATTATACTGCGGTACCATATCTGTGTAGGTCATTATCAGGGTTAGAGCTATTATACTGCGGTACCGTATCTGTGTAGGTCATTATCAGGGTTAGAGCTATTATACTGCGGTACCATATCTGTGTAGGTCATTATCAGGGTTAGAGCTATTATACTGCGGTACCGTATCTGTGTAGGTCATTATCAGGGTTAGAGCTATTATACTGCGGTACCGTATCTGTGTAGGTCATTATCAGGGTTAGAGCTATTATACTGCGGTACCATATCTGTGTAGGTCATTATCAGGGTTAGAGCTATTATACTGCGGTACCGTATCTGTGTAGGTCATTATCAGGGTTAGAGCTATTATACTGCGGTACCATATCTGTGTAGGTCATTATCAGGGTTAGAGCTATTATACTGCGGTACCATATCTGTGTAGGTCATTATCAGGGTTAGAGCTATTATACTGCGGTACCATATCTCCTCCAGGACAGCCTGAATCCTTGGCGAGTATTGCTTCCGTCAGTTGTGAAGGTCATTTTAAACTGTCTGCCAACCATTGTGTCACGACTGTCACCGGTAAATGACACATTCCGTTGGTACCCATACACATCTTCGTATGAAATCTGAAACACATGCAGAGTCGATTAAGCTGTGTGATGGTTAGAGGTATACTCTCATACCTCAGGCTGGTTCTGTATTGGATTCTATAGGTGGTAGAGGTGATATTAAAATATGTACCGATCTTTTCACTACACCGTGTTCCAGTAAATTATTAGTTATGACAGTTCTAATATTTTGAAATGGAAAGAACAGTATATGGGGAATATGAGGTAGTAGCACATTGTTGTTATTATTTTCAGATAAAAATAACTAAATGCAGCAAATTTGGTGACGCAAGAACAGTCGGGCTGGTTAGGCTCAGCTCGGGGCTCTTGCCCCTCTCCAAACCCTGAGAGCGAATGGGACTTCTCCATAGAAGCTCTGCTAAGTCGATATTCTAGATCGTACCACTGATGCACCTCTTTGTCAAAAGGGGGAAAAGAGGAAAGCGTAAGATACAGCGTCACTCCTGTCCTTATTGGACAGTCGTTAACTTCTTAGCAAAATGTACATTTCGTAATTATATTACAGTTTGATGCAAAATCACAACCGTATTAAGTTGAAAATGACTATGAGCGGCTAACAGAAGGCTGTTGTTTCACGTTTAAAGCCTGCCGACTTCAAACAAGCTCTTCTCAACACACTGGACATAAACTCGATGCAGTGGTCGGTTAGCCTTCCTTTAAAAACAGACTTCGGCAATTTAAAATTTGAATTTATCTTGGTTGACAAGCATTTCTGCATCATCCATCAGTTTAGAAGCATAAGCAAAATCAACTCTGACATAACGATAAAGTCTTGCCTGTTTTATATAGCTGTGGAACCTTGACATGCTTCACAAGAGAATCATCGGACAAATATGTTTGTGCACAAGAAAAATCTGTCATAAAGCGCCTTCACGTTAATCAAACCACTATTGATAACATTATCCAGTCATAAAGAAAAGACAAAAGTATGAAAGTGTTTTCATTACCCTCAGGATGTCATAATTCTGTTCTAACATCAAATCGTCAATGCTCAGTTCTATGTTGTAAGATGGGTAGATCCCGTAGACACAGTAGAGGTTGTTGGAGTAGCTGCTGGGGTAGTTCGGAGATTGGAAAACGCCACTGGTGCTGTAGCTCGTCTCCCCACAAGCTTAAAGATAACATGCATGCACTGAGGGAGCGAATAATGCAACATGTAAATACAAATAAATAATTATAAACAGCTCAGTGACGTCATCACTGCCGCGGTTGAACATGAACGTATATAGGAAGTTGATCTTTTAGCCATAATGCTATAAATACCCGCTCTGCATTTTTATATCGCCTATATGTTTCTCCTTGTGAGTATTGAAACATTTACTTCTGTCTGGAGTCGCTGCGTATCACGAGTGTGTTTGGGAAAATATAACATGTCCCCGAATATTTAAAACATTGTGTGAATTTTTTATTCATGCAAGTGACCTACCGTAACCAGATGACGTCTGATATCGCCAGTCTGACGTGGTTCCTAAAAAAATAGAATTGATTAGGTAAATATTTGCAAGTGGAATTGATGTTTGTTTCATCGCAAAAGAACAGACATAACAGCAGTTATAAACTGGGAAATTATATTTTGCGTAAAAAGAACTTTAACTTCAATAACAAGCGTTGGTTGTAGTTCATCACTTAACACCATAATCTTTACAAAGCAATCATTTCAAAATGCTTGCAGAACAAATGTGAAACTCGGTTTTACCTTCAGTGCTTGCGTAAGGCCATCGGGAGCCCCAGCCTATGGAGATAAAAATCACTTTTGTTAGTATAACAGTCCCTGTAGGTGTGGTATGAAAATCACAAATGTCGGTAGACAGTTCCTGGATATAAAAGTCGCCTGTGTCAGTATCACGGTTCACAGACGTGAAGTATGAAAATCATAATTCATATATCGCGGATATGTTGCACCGTTTGAGTATTGAAACACTTACCTCTGTCTGTAGTGGACCAATACCACGGGTCTGTGGAGGAAAATGAAACATGTCTCAGAATATTTTACAATTTGTGTGAACGGACGTTTTCTTTTAAAAGCATCCTTGACCTCAGTCTTCATATTTCGCAATACTCACATGTGGTCGCCATTCCATTCCAAGGGTAGGGGCTTGATGACCGTCTGTTGTAACTTGAGTCTGGTGGAGAGAGTTAGAAAATGTATTTCAAGATCAGACGCATGAAGTGTCTTGATTCGACATTGTATCCGCATATTTGTCTGACATGGCCAAGCACCCGGATAACCAATGATCTAGATTCTACTCTTTGCGCTTGGTCGCCAATTGCAAAATAGTTTTGTGCGTAAACTCGATGTATATAATCACATTCGACGAACAAAACCGCATTTCTAGCTTTCGGACACATCTTACGTTTTCTGGGGGTTTTGGACTGGTAAATATTATTGTGACTACATTGTATATCATTCTTTTTCTTTTCACAGACCACCTCCGTGGTCTTGTGGAGGGGGCGTCGGCCCGGAGAGCGGTTGGTCGATGGCTTGATTTCTGGACACCTTCTACAAATCTACACTATCCTTCCTTTCACTATTGTATTATGGGGAGAAGCAAAATATAGACAAATTTTATGGATAACTGATTCTTTTGTTTCGTAAGTGCGACATTCGGATACAGATCCCTGTTCAGTTGCCAAGCACATGTGCGTGCGCGTCACAAGTTTAGTGCAATAAATTTAACAGAGACTTCGAACCTCATATCGTTTCACTACCTCTCAGTGTCATGTTTAAAAAGAGGGTCAAATGTACTAGCGAAATAATCAGCATTCAGAGGTTCAAGCTATGCACTGAGCAGAATTATTCTTACCTGTTGTGGGATACGTCGGGAATGATGAGTAATCTACAATCAATCGAAAAAAGAATTTACTTCAGGCCCAACAGGGAACTTATGTAGTAGAATGGTCTCCGGACATAATTAGTCTACATTTGCACATCATTTACAAGTTTATCGTCTTGCTACTGTATGTGTCTTGTAGGCATGTGTATGTCTCGTGGTGTTGTATCAATGTACATATGTCATAGTATGGTGTTCGTGGATGAGTGACCAGTCGTTTTAGGTATGTATTATGTTTTTATGTATACATATATGTCATTTCATACGTAATCTTCATGAGCTTTGAGTAACTAACGCATACACAGGACGTATGTACTAGTAATTATAATTCCCCAAACTGTAGATTATGAATGCAAAGTAGAGCTGTTAAGATGAGAGTATAGGCAAGATAACAACATACCTGGACCATAGTACAGTTTGAAGCCTCTTTGGACATTGCTGCCGTCAGAAGTAAACACAACCCGGAAGTACCTCCCATAAAGATAAACATTGCCAGTCACGTCGTTTCCATGTTGGTCATAAATCTGTAAATAACTTAGTCTTAAGGTAACAAATCTAAACACATGTAAGAAATGATATTTCAGGATCAATCAAAACTGTCTTGAAATTTAGATTTGAACCAGATATATACAACATGGGAAAATATATCTACAGGCATCAAGGTGTTGATGAAACATTGGTGAGACATGGCTACCGTGCCGTCATCAAGCAGATCCAACTGATAATGAGAAGATGATGAGGAGTCACACATGCGACCATGTCATCTCTAGGGGACGATGCTCTCTACGTTTGCGCCCTTGAAGGATGGACAGCGGCGTCCAAGAGTGGAAGTAAATTTAAATGACTTCATTTCTGTTCTGGGGGATTTTTATACAACAAAGAGGATGTCTTCTACCCAGAGTGATTCATGTGCTCAAGCATTGAAAGCTCAATAGAGCATCTTGGTCCCGAATCTTTAAGAAAGCATCGTATACTCAGCAGCAAAAAAACTTCAGTACGAATTCAAAATCAGATAGGCACTGTAATCAAATCATTACAGAAATGGACATAATAAGCGGATCAAAAACATTTTTTGTGTACAATATTTTGATACATCTATGAACAACATAACCCAGCACAATTTCAAGACATTATGTGAACGTTTGCAGTCCATTCAGACTCTTGACTTCAGTATCTACTGTGACCACCACGAGCAGCAATAACTGCAGCACAGCGTCTATGCATGGAGTACACTAATCCATTGATGAAGGTCATTGGCACCTGGAAGCACACTCTGAGAAAGGCCTGGCGCAATAAATCGGCCGTGTTCGGTCTTGGTATGACATTATTCAGTCTCCTCTGAATTTCATCCCAAAGATGTTCAATTGGGTTTAAATCAGGACTAGGGGCTGGCCACTGCATAATGCTGACACCGTTCTGCTGTAGGAAGCCCCGTATAGCTCTGGCAGTATGGGCCCGGGCGTTATCAAGCTGGAAAATGTTGTTCCTGTGATGTGTGAAATGTGGTATGACGTGGGGTCTGAGAGCTTGGTCGATGTAGCGCACCGCTGTGATGCCGCCTCCTCTACCTGGACCAAGGTTCTGGAACACCACAGGATCCACTCTCAGGTTTAGGCCTATTCCATCCAATACCATGATGCTTGCACCTTCCCATGAGTCCCTTTCCATAACACATTGGTCTGAGTAACGCTGGCCACGTCGTCGCCATATTCTTGTTCTGCCATCTGCAGTTGACGTCTTGTGGTCACCCTTGGTCTGCGAGTACGGGGGCGATCATTTGTGGTGTTGGTGGCCCGGAAACGTTGCTGCAGCCTGTAGGTGGTCCGAACGTTGTCCTGGAAGTGATTGGCAACGGCTTGTGCAGTGTGGCCAGCTTCGAGTCTACCTAGCGCCTGGTTCCTCTCAGCTGTCGTGAGTCGCGGCATCCTGCTGACGTTGTAATGTGAATGTTTCAAACAGGTTTGGGGGTGCATTTTATAGGGCTGTCCTTGTGAACAGCACGTGCAGCATGAGTTGCATGAAAAACACGGAGAACACCGGACGATCTCCGAGATCAGGTTGCGTTTTGAGACTATTTCCTGGGTTTCATTCTGAGTTTGGGAAGGAATGTCTTTGCTCAGGTAAAGTTGGTGATGTTGTCAACAATATACAATCAAAACATTAAATGAGTTTACAGTTTTCCATTTCTGCGAAGGAAAATTTCAAACTGACGTTTCTTTTGCTGCTTAGTATATATGTAACATCATCAGGTTCGACTTGGATGGTTACGTAGAAAGGATTTTGTTTACGAAATCATTTTCACCAGTTGGAATTCGTACTCATGATCGAACATATACTATACTCCCGATAAATGTGTTCCCCTCCAAACTCACAGTTCGAAGTCGAAACTTGTCATTTGTGTCAATAACCAACGAATTCATTTAATTCAAAATCACATTCATGGCATTCACAAACACATATTGCTAGAAATGTACAACTCACTTATAACACTGCAGTAAGTGATAACATGTAGAAGGTGTCTCCATTTGTTTAAGTTGCTGTAGCAAAAGCTAGTTCCGATGTCTTCGTTTTGAAGTCGTGACTATCTCTTACTATTAATGTTACTTCCCATCGCTGGCACATATGTTCAACGTTGCAACAAGAATGTGTGTCCTCGTCTATTTGGTATTTTGCAACTCAACACATACCGTAACTGCTGCCAGATGACGTCTGATATCGCCAGTCCGGTGTGGTTCCTAAAAGTATTGAATTGAATTGGTTAATATTTGCAAGTGGAATCGATTTTTGTTTTACCGCAAAAACATCAGACATAGCAGTTGTTACACATCAGACATAGCAGTTGTTACGAACTCAGAAATTATATTTGGCATAAAAAGAACTTTAATTTAAATAATATGCGTTGGCGCTAGCTCATTACTGAACACCATAACCTTCACAAAACATTCATTTAAAAATGTTTGCAGAATAAATGTAAAACTGCAGAATAAATGTTACACTCGATTTTACCTTCGGTGCTTGCGTAAGGCCATCGGGAGCCCCAGCCTAAGGAGATTAATTACTTTTGTTAACAAAACAGTCCCTGTAGGTGTGGTATGTAAATCACAAATGTCGATAGAACAGTTCCTGTACGTGGAGTTTAAAAGTCACACGTGTCAGTATCACACTTCATACACGTGGAGTTTGAAAATCATAATTCATATATCGCGGATATGTTGCACCATGTGAGTATTGAAACACTTACCTCTGTCTGTAGTGGCCCCATACCACGGGTCTGTGGAGGAAAATGAAACATGTCTTAGAATATTTTACAGTTGGTGTGAACGGACGTTTTTCTTTTAAAAAGCATCCTTGACCTCAGTCTTCATATTTCGCAATACTCACATGTGCTCGCCATTGTTGTAAGGGTTCCTGTAGATAGAGTATGTACATCCCGTGTGTCGTTGTAAGGGTTCCTGTAGATAGAGTATGTACATCCCGTGTATCGTTGTAAGGGTTCCTGTAGATAGAGTATGTACATCCCGTGTATCGTTGTAAGGGTTCCTGTAGATAGAGTATGTACATCCCGTGTATCGTTGTAAGGGTTCCTGTAGATAGAGTATGTACATCTCGTGTATCGTTGTAAGGGTTCCTGTAGATAGAGTATGTACATCCGTGTATCGTTGTAAGGGTTCCTGTAGATAGAGTATGTACATCCTGTGTGTATCGTTGTAAGGGTTCCTGTAGATAGAGTATGTACATCCCGTGTGTATCGTTGTAAGGGTTCCTGTAGATAGAGTATGTACATCCGTGTATCGTTGTAAGGGTTCCTGTAGATAGAGTATGTACATCCTGTGTATCGTTGTAAGGGTTCCTGTAGATAGAGTATGTACATCCCGTGTATCGTTGTAAGGGTTCCTGTAGATAGAGTATGTACATCCTGTGTATCGTTGTAAGGGTTCCTGTAGATAGAGTATGTACATCCCGTGTATCGTTGTAAGGGTTCCTGTAGATAGAGTATGTACATCCCGTGTATCGTTGTAAGGGTTCCTGTAGATAGAGTATGTACATCCCGTGTATCGTTGTAAGGGTTCCTGTAGATAGAGTATGTACATCCTGTGTATCGTTGTAAGGGTTCCTGTAGATAGAGTATGTACATCCCGTGTATCGTTGTAAGGGTTCCTGTAGATAGAGTATGTACATCCCGTGTATCGTTGTAAGGGTTCCTGTAGATGGAGAGTATGTACATCCCGTGTATCGTTGTAAGGGTTCCTGTAGATAGAGTATGTACATCCTGTGTATCGTTGTAAGGGTTCCTGTAGATAGAGTATGTACATCCCGTGTATCGTTGTAAGGGTTCCTGTAGATAGAGTATGTACATCCCGTGTATCGTTGTAAGGGTTCCTGTAGATAGAGTATGTACATCCTGTGTATCGTTGTAAGGGTTCCTGTAGATAGAGTATGTACATCCGTGTATCGTTGTAAGGGTTCCTGTAGATGTTCCTGAGTATGTACATCCCGTGTATCGTTGTAAGGGTTCCTGTAGATAGAGTAGAGTGTACATCCCGTGTATCGTTGTAAGGGTTCCTGTAGATAGAGTATGTACATCCTGTGTATCGTTGTAAGGGTTCCTGTAGATGGAGTATGTCCGTGTATCGTTGTACATGTAGATAGAGTGTGTACATCGTGTATCGTTGTAAGGGTTCCTGTAGATAGAGTATGTACATCCTGTGTATCGTTGTAAGGGTTCCTGTAGATAGAGTATGTACATCCCGTGTATCGTTGTAAGGGTTCCTGTAGATAGAGTATGTACATCCGTGTATCGTTGTAAGGGTTCCTGTAGATAGAGTATGTACATCCTGTGTATGTCGTTGTAAGGGTTCCTGTAGATAGAGTATGTACATCCCGTGTATCGTTGTAAGGGTTCCTGTGAGATAGAGTATGTACATCCGTGTATCGTTGTAAGGGTTCCTGTAGATAGAGTATGTACATCCCGTGTATCGTTGTAAGGGTTCCTGTAGATAGAGTATGTACATCCGTGTATCGTTGTAAGGGTTCCTGTAGATGGAGTATGTACATCCGTGTATCGTTGTAAGGGTTCCTGTAGATAGAGTATGTACATCCCGTGTATCGTTGTAAGGGTTCCTGTAGATAGAGTATGTACATCTCGTGTATCGTTGTAAGGGTTCCTGTAGATAGAGTATGTACATCCTGTGTGTCGTTGTAAGGGTTCCTGTAGATGGAGTATGTACATCCCGTGTATCGTTGTAAGGGTTCCTGTAGATAGAGTATGTACATCCCGTGTATCGTTGTAAGGGTTCCTGTAGATAGAGTATGTACATCCCTGTGTATCGTTGTAAGGGTTCCTGTAGATAGAGAGTATGTACATCCTGTAGTGTGTGTCGTTGTAAGGGTTCCTGTAGATAGAGTATGTACATCCCGTGTATCGTTGTAAGGGTTCCTGTAGATAGAGTATGTACATCCGTACATCCTCGTGTGTATCGTTGTAAGGGTTCCTGTAGATGAGAGTATGTACATCCCGTGTATCGTTGTAAGGGTTCCTGTAGATAGAGTATGTACATCCCGTGTATCGTTGTAAGGGTTCCTGTAGATAGAGATGTATGTACATCCTGTAGATAGAGTATGTGTATCGTTGTAAGGGTTCCTGTAGATAGAGTATGTACATCCTGTGTATCGTTGTAAGGGTTCCTGTAGATAGAGTATGTACATCCCGTGTATCGTTGTAAGGGTTCCTGTAGATGGAGTATGTACATCCCGTGTATCGTTGTAAGGGTTCCTGTAGATAGAGTATGTACATCTCGTGTATCGTTGTAAGGGTTCCTGTAGATAGAGTATGTACATCCTGAATGTGGTTGTAAGGGTTCCTGTAGATAGAGTATGTACATCTCGTGTATCGTTGTAAGGGTTCCTGTAGATAGAGTATGTACATCCCGTGTGTCGTTGTAAAGGTTCCTGTAGATATATGTATATCCTGTATGTGGTTGTAAGGGTTCCTGTAGATGTAGTATGTACATCCCGTGTATCTTTGTAAGGGTTCCTGTAGATAGAGTATGTACATCATGTGTATCGTTGTAAGGGTTCCTGTAGATAGAGTATGTACATCCGTGTATCGTTGTAAGGGTTCCTGTAGATAGAGTATGTACATCACGTGTATCGTTGTAAGGGTTCCTGTAGATAGAGTATGTACATCACGTGTATCGTTGTAAGGGTTCCTGTAGATAGAGTATGTACATCCGTGTATCGTTGTAAGGGTTCCTGTAGATAGAGTATGTACATCCCGTGTATCGTTGTAAGGGTTCCTGTAGATAGAGTATGTACATCCCGTGTATCGTTGTAAGGGTTCCTGTAGATAGATGGAGTATGTACATCCCGTGTATCGTTGTAAGGGTTCCTGTAGATAGAGTATGTACATCCCGTGTGTCGTTGTAAGGGTTCCTGTAGATGGAGTATGTACATCATCCCGTGTATCGTTGTAAGGGTTCCTGTAGATGGAGTATGTACATCCCGTGTATCGTTGTAAGGGTTCCTGTAGATAGAGTATGTACATCTCGTGTATCGTTGTAAGGGTTCCTGTAGATAGAGTATGTACATCCTGAGTGTGGTTGTAAGGGTTCCTGTAGATGGAGTATGTACATCCCGTGTATCGTTGTAAGGGTTCCTGTAGATAGAGTATGTACATCCCGTGTATCGTTGTAAGGGTTCCTGTAGAGGGTTCCTGAGAGTATGTACATCCCGTGTATCGTTGTAAGGGTTCCTGTAGATAGAGTATGTACATCCTGTGTATCGTTGTAAGGGTTCCTGTAGATGGAGTATGTACATCCCGTGTATCGTTGTAAGGGTTCCTGTAGATAGAGTATGTACATCCCGTGTATCGTTGTAAGGGTTCCTGTAGATAGAGTATGTACATCCTGAATATGTGTGTATGTCGTTGTAAGGGTTCCTGTAGATGGAGTATGTACATCTCGTGTATCGTTGTAAGGGTTCCTGTAGATAGAGTATGTACATCCCGTGTATCGTTGTAAGGGTTCCTGTAGATAGAGTATGTACATCCTGTGTGTATCGTTGTAAGGGTTCCTGTAGATAGAATATGTACATCACGTGTATCTATCGTTGTAAGGGTTCCTGTAGATAGAGTATGTACATCCCGTGTATCGTTGTAAGGGTTCCTGTAGATAGAGTATGTACATCCCGTGTATCGTTGTAAGGGTTCCTGTAGATAGAGTATGTACATCCGTGTATCGTTGTAAGGGTTCCTGTAGATAGAGTATGTACATCCGTGTATCGTTGTAAGGGTTCCTGTAGATAGAGTATGTACATCCGTGTATCGTTGTAAGGGTTCCTGTAGATGGAGTATGTACATCCCGTGTATCGTTGTAAGGGTTCCTGTAGATAGAGTATGTACATCCTGTGTATCGTTGTAAGGGTTCCTGTAGATAGAGTATGTACATCCTGAATGTGGTTGTAAGGGTTCCTGTAGATGGAGTATGTACATCCCATGTATCGTTGTAAGGGTTCCTGTAGATGGAGTATGTACATCCGTGTATCGTTGTAAGGGTTCCTGTAGATAGAGTATGTACATCCCGTGTATCGTTGTAAGGGTTCCTGTAGATAGAGTATGTACATCTCGTGTATCGTTGTAAGGGTTCCCTGATAGATAGAGTATGTACATCCCGTGTGTCGTTGTAAGGGTTCCTGTAGATAGAGTATGTACATCACGTGTATCGTTGTAAGGGTTCCTGTAGATAGAGTATGTACATCCCGTGTATCGTTGTAAGGGTTCCTGTAGATAGAGTATGTACATCCGTGTGTATCGTTGTAAGGGTTCCTGTAGATAGAGTATGTACATCCTGTGTATCGTTGTAAGGGTTCCTGTAGATAGAGTATGTACATCACGTGTATCGTTGTAAGGGTTCCTGTAGATAGAGTATGTACATCCCGTGTATCGTTGTAAGGGTTCCTGTAGATAGAGTATGTACATCCCGTGTATCGTTGTAAGGGTTCCTGTAGATGAGTATGTACATCCTGTGTATCGTTGTAAGGGTTCCTGTAGATAGAGTATGTATCCCGTGTATCGTTGTATCGTTGTACATGTACATGTATCGTTGTGTAAGGGTTCCTGTAGATAGAGTATGTACATCCGTGTAATGTTAGGGTTCCTGTAGATAGAGTATGTACATCCCGTGTATCGTTGTAAGGGTTCCTGTAGATAGAGTATGTACATCCGTGTATCGTTGTAAGGGTTCCTGTAGATAGAGTATGTACATCCTGTGTATCGTTGTAAGGGTTCCTGTAGATAGAGTATGTACATCCCGTGTATCGTTGTAAGGGTTCCTGTAGATAGAGTATGTACATCCCGTGTATCGTTGTAAGGGTTCCTGTAGATAGAGTATGTACATC